TATACTGAATCCCCTTATTTTATTAAGAATTAATCCTGAGCCCCGTGTGATGGTGGGTTCCTGTAGTGTCAGCTACTCAGGAGGCTAAGGAGGGAGTATCCCTTGAGCCCAGAAGTTAGAGGTGGCAGTGAGCTGTGACCGAGCCACCACACTTTAGTCTAGGCAGCATAGGAAGATCCCCATCTCTTTTAAAACAAAGAAAAAAGGCAATTACTCATTTAATTATCCTTGATAAACTAAAGCCTTTGGACTGGCAAAAGAGCATGACCTGGAGAATGGTGAGTGAAGGGTAAAGTGATTTTGGTGGTGGAGGGGTGGTGCAAAAACCAGTATGGTTTTCATATCTTTTAAGTCTACTATAAGCAGATTATTGATTAACAAGATAAAAAGCATTGTTTTAGGGAAATTGATTTATTGGTAGCAAAGTGTGGTTATTCAAATATGAGAGGGACTAAAAGTCAGTGTTTCTAATTTATTATAATTGTAAAATTTGAAGTAATAGAAGTGTAAGATCTACAATGCCAATGAAAAGAAAATAAAGGAACATACACAGAGATCAGAAATTAACAACTTAGTAGATCTGAGAATGGAAATACAATTTGAAAGAATTTTTTGACAAGCAAGGCATGTGGGATATCATTTAGATTTAGATTTAATGTTATGCTTGTACCATTATTCATCACTTTTTTTTTCTCTTTTTGAGATGGAATCTGTACCCCAGTCTGGGGTGCAATGGCATGATCTAGGCTCACTGCAACCTCCACCTCCAGGTTCAAGCAATTCTCCTGCCTCAGCCTCCTGAGTAGCTGGGATTACAGGCCCGTGCCACTACACCTGGAGACAGGGTTTCACCATGTTGGTCAGGTTGGTCTTGAACTCCTGACCTCATGATCTGCCCACCTTGGCTTCCCAAAGTGCTGGGATTACAGGTGTTAACCAGTTCGCCCAGCTCATCACCTATTACTATGTTATCTAACAGAATAAAATAATTACTTTAAAATTAATCAACTTGAAATGCTTTGTTGCTTTTTTTTTAACTTCAAGCTTTTTCCTAGATATAGACTAGTTCATTACTCTTTTTTCAAATAGACACTGCTCATTGTTAAAGGGGTAATTCTGCAAATAAGAAAGTGTTCATAATGTTAAATACATAAGCAAATAATGCAATTGCTACATAGTCGTCTTTTTGGTAGATTTATCGGTTGGTTTGTTTATAGTATGATGATCATCTTCTTTATCATTGGGAATTCTAAGATTAAAATGAATATTATTTAAATCTTTAAAGTAGGTTCTATGGTAAAGAAAATGAAAGATAAAAAATGATTCTCACTTTGTCATATTTCTACAAGCTTTATAATGTAATTTTGAGTCAAATTAATTATCTTTTAAAAAACTTTCACCATATAATTAGGAAGAAAATGGCTTATAGCATAATATATTAATCTATTTTTGCTGTCTACACCAGCTTTGGTATTGGAACATTTCCATCCATATTCAAATTAACAATAAAGAAATCACAATCTATATTTACTTGCCTTCTGGATTACATTTGCCTATTAGAGGACATAAGTAGTACACATATTTAAATGGCAACTGTTTTGTTTTGTTTTGTTTTGTTTTCCTTTTACTATGGGAAAATATGGTATTCTGTGAGTACACAAGGTATAGGTGTTTGGTTTTTTGTTTTGTTTTTTTTTTGCTTTTTAGTGCTATGTAGAGGAAATAAATCAACAGCTAAGAAAAATGTATAGAAATGGGTATTTAAAGGTGCTTCAGATCAGAGATAAGTCACAAAACCCAATTGCTTATTCTTTCCCATTTGTTATTTATGCTATTTGAAGGATTAGAGAAGTGTTTTCTTCTGGGAAGATGCCTTCCTCCAGGTGAAAGCCAGAAAAAGTAGTAGGCTGGTTTCCCACCATGATTATTTAGCATTCTTTTTGCTTGAGCAAAGTGAAAACACCAGTAGGTCCACTTATACACAGGAACACACACACGCACACACACACATTTTTAAAATGTCACATATATATTCATTAGAAGCTGTTATAGAAAAATGTATTTTAACTCTGAGGAGAAGACACTTAAATTGATATGCTGTAAGTTGTTACCTATTCGCCACTAAGAAACTGAGAACGATTAGGGGAATGACTAATGTTCTTACTGAACATTAACAGTATGTTAATGCTAGTAGTTCTAGGTATACGGACACTGTTTATGACCATTTTAATTTTACTGATTATGATACTATGTAACATGACACAATTACTCCTACTACCAGTGATAAAACAATAACTTACATAAAGTGAAAATAAGATTGCCATGATGCCTTTGAATATATTGCAAATATCAAATACTTCTGTGTTCTCTAAATTGACCTTCATACCTTAAGATGTTAGAGTTGAGCTCATGTCTTTTCCACAGGGTGAAATTTTAATCCTATCTGCTTCCTAATCTTGGAAGGATTATATTGATTATGGTGATTTTTCTCTGCAGCATTTTTTTTGTTAGTTTACAGATGGTGAAGGGGATCAGAACATGCACCCCCAAATATGCCACTTTGTCATATGGGTTATTTTAAGCTGCAGGCTCTTTTTGAAGAAAGAGCACATGCAAGAAGCTGTTTCTGATCTTCCCCTTCCTACCTAAAAGAAAATCATGAAGTTTCCCGTGATAAAAATCTCCCCCACCCCTTCCCACTATATTAGAAAGCAAAAATTGTTCTTATAACCAGAAGTTAGGAGTCAACACTGGAATGGACCTATGCAAACAAGCTTACTAAAATAACCCTCATCTCCTAATAGTTTTCCCCAAATATTACCTAGTTACTGTCCCACCATTTACTGCCCCCAGCCCTCTGCCTAAAGCCCCTTTGTATTATGGCTTACTGACAATGTATTATTCTTTATTTAAAATGGCATGTAAGCTTTTGGGCCTAAAAGGTTCTTTGACCTTCATTTTCCTTCTGAAGACATAAAACACTTTTCTATGCTCTTCTCCTATTAATGTGTATTATGCCAGTTTAATTTCCTTGTGAAGACATAAAACACACTTGTATGCTTTTCTACTATTAATGTTTATTATACCACTTTAATTTTTAGGTCACCACAGAATGTAAGAGGATAAAGAAGGTTTTTTCCCTTGCAATACCTTTACAAAGATATTTCCTTGCAATACCTTTACAAACAACTGTAAACAGAGAATTGCTTTCTTAATTTCTAAAAATTATTTTTAAAAATGTACCCCAAATTATTTTAATCATTCAAAAGAATCACAAATTTTCAAAATGTTAAGAATCACAAGATTTTTTATAATGGGGAAAATTATCTCCTTTTTTAAGGGAATTAAAGTTACCGGCTCCTAAAGGAGCCACATACAAATTTATTTAATGCCCTCTATAGATTCATTTTTTTTTTTTAATCTAAGAAGTGGAAGATACTTTAAAGTGATTGTCTCACCAAGAGCACAAATTCATCCAAAGCCAAATCCAATAGCTCCATCTGAGTTTAGGGATATTACATGTATTAAAGCCCAAGGAAAATTATTTCTATTAGAATTTTATTTCTTAAATTTAGAAAAATATACCGTCTCATAAAATTCCTGCTGTCATTTCTGTTTTTGCTTCTTAAAGTGGATGATAATCTTTGTAAACTTTATTTTGATGACAACTTTTTAAATAGTTTAAAACTGAATACATACCTTTTTTTCTATATTCAGTATTTCCAGTTCTATTTTTCTTTATGTAAGAAGATTTCAAGGCCAATCACTTTCCTGTTACCCATATCTAAAGGTCCTTAGAGGTGCCCATTCTCTTCTGTAGTTTGACTCATGCCATTACAAAATCATCATTGGGATGGTCAACTGTGTATTGGTGCCAATAATGCCAGTTTTGATGTTTAGTGACTATGATGGTCCACTCAGAGGAAAATTTGCTGAATGTGTTCTATCCTGTTTTTTACCATATTCATACATTATTTTAGAATGTGTATTTTTAATGAAATGTTCTAACTTATAAAATATATTTTTGTATGCATTGTAGCCCTTATTTTTTTATAGTATTTCAAGGTATGCTGTGCCGAAATATGTGCCTTTTAATTTATGTGAAAAATAAACTCAGTAAGATTAATGTGCTAGAAAATATAGCAAAACACTGGAAGAGTCAAGACCAGAATACATTCCTTTCACTTTAACCTAATTTAATATCACTGTGAAGAGTAATTTCAGGATACATTTGAACTAACTGGAACTTTGTCTTGTTACTATATATATACACACACACACCTTGACACATATACTTTAGAGCTATAAGGGACTTTAGTGTAGTGATACCTTGGGAGAAGAGGTGAGAAAATAAGCCTGTATATCAAATCCTGCATTCTCTTAAAGTATATTCAAACCCAGAAAATTATTGTGAAGTTTCAGTTATAGAGCGCATAGTATCCAAATTCAACTTGATGTTTGAAGTTACATGTCACCACTGTGAAGCTTCTTTTGACAAAGTTCAAAATGCTTTGACAAAGGAATTAAAATTTTATGGTATTAAGACTTATTAATTTTGTTTACCTTTATAAAGATGTAATGGCAGTAAATATGTGAAATATCAAAACATTTAATTGGCTGTTAAAATAAATTAATCTTACTTTTTAAAAAGTTCTCTTATTTTGCACTATTTTCTCTGCCAAGTGTTCAACTTCATTTTTCTCTAATAAGTGCATTAAAAATAGGACACAAGTTTTAAGGCTTGGTATTTTGTACTGTTTGAAATTATTGTCTTAATGATTAGTCGTCATATAATATGCCTATACTTGGAAGACAACATACAGAATTGATTTTTTCCTTAGCATAGTGTGTGGTTTATAAGCAGTAAAATATTTGTCATTATATTATAGAGCCTGTATGTAAATAATATGCTTCAGAATCTAATCAGACACACAAGTTTATTTATTCAGTTCATTATCTATGTGTTTGTATGTATGTGTGTATCTGTGTATGTCTTACAGCTGTTATTTCAAGAAACCAAGAAGGGCCAGGAGAAATGGGAAAAGCTGTGTTGATTCCTAAAGATGACCAGGAGAAAATGAAAGAGCTGTTTAAAATCAATCAGTTTAACCTAATGGCCAGTGATTTGATTGCCCTTAACAGAAGTCTGCCAGATGTAAGATTAGAAGGGTAAGTTTACATTTGTTATATAATCTTTGATATTCATAATTGCCATTTTTCAGAATCTCAGAACTTCAGCTAACTCAGCTTATGTCAATTCTAGAAATGTGTGCTTTTTAGTACCTATAACATAGCAGGAATTTATTATGTATGCATATGCTGAAAATATGAACTATTTTCTTCTCTGGCGAAGCAAAATATGTTACTTGCAAAGATGCTGCAAAATACTCAGGCCAAACAAAATTTTCCTTGTGAGATGTTTTTTGTTATTGTTTTGTTTGCTTTCTTTATCTTACCAAATATAGAGCAAACATGCTCTTTAATAGATTACAGTTATATATTGCTTAACAGTGTGGATATGTTCTGGGAAATATGTCATTAGGCAATTTTGTCATTGTGTAAGCATCATAGGTGTACTTAAACCTCCATGGTATAGACTACTATATTTCTAGGTTATATAGTGTAGCCTGATGTTTCTAGGCTGTAACTCTATACAGCGTATTACTGTACTGAACACTGTAGATAAGTGTAACATTATGTTAAGTATTTTTGTATCTAAACATAGAAGAGGTACAGTAAAAACATGGTGTGACAGTAAAACTTGGTACACTTGTATAGGTCATGTAGCATGAATGGAACTTGCAGGACTGAAAATTGCTCTGGGTGAGTCAGTGAGTGAGTAGTCAATGTGAAGGCTTAGTGCATTACTGTACACTACTATAGACTTTATAAACACTATACACTTAGGTTATGCTAAATTTATTTTTAAAATTTCTTTCTTTAGTAATAAATTAACCTTACATTACTGTGATGTTTTTACTTCATAGAATCTTGAATTTTTTCACTTTTAAACTGTTTACTATTAATATTTAGCTTAACACATAAGCATACTGTACAGCTGTGTAAAATATTTTCTTTATATACTTTATTCTATTAGCTTTTTTCTGTTTATAATTTAATTTTTATTTTTTTTCTGGTAAAAACTAAGACACAAACACACACATTAGCCTATGTCTATTCAGGGTCAAGATCATCAAAACATCACTAGGCATTAGGAATCTTTCAGATTCATTATAATCTTATGAGACTATCATTATATATGTGATCTGTCATTGTGCAGTACATGACTGTATTTACTTGGCTGCATATATACTTTGCTTATAAAAAGTATCCATTGCTATTCTAGCATAAAAAAGCCAATTGTCTATATGACTCTTTGACCCTATGAAAGTGATTTATTATGGTTTCCAGCAATTTATACTGCTGTTTATACTTAGAATGCTTAATTATCAGCTACAGAATAAATAGGCACTTGAAAATAATATTGCATGAAAATTATGTTGAAAAATTCAACTTTTATTTGATTAACTGTAAGCTATGCTCTAGATAGTTGAACATATTTTAAACAGATGTAATAAAATGTGAATATCTAATGGCAGCATTGTCAATCTAGTATATAGTCCTTGTAAAGCAAATTCTTGGCATTGATAAAAGATGTGTCTTGAGATTTTAGAAAATCTCCAAGTTTACAAATGTACTCCAGGACACACTTCCATGTAAACAGAAGTTGTTATTTTTAGCACCTAATGATTTTTCTCTAAACGCAGTATAACATAATGCAAATAAAGTTTGCCACCTCTAATGGGCTATGTTATACTACTGTGTCATGATATTAGCATCATATTTACTAACTTTTATTTTTTTCTTTCCGAATTACTTAATGTAATAAGAAAACCTTGGCTGGGCTTGGTGGTCCACGCCTGTAATCTCAGCATTTTAGGAAGCCATGGTGGGTGGATCACCTGAGGTTGGGAGTTTGACAGCAGCCTGACCAACATGGTGAAACCCAGTCTCTACTGAAAATACAAAATTAGCCAGGTGTGGTGGTGCATGCCTGTAATCCCAGCTACTTGGGAGGCTCAGGCAGGAGAATTGCTTGAACCTGGGAGGTGGAAGTTGCAGTGAGCTGAGATTGTGCCATTGCATTCCAGCCTGGGTGACAGAGCAAAACTCCATCTCAAAAAGAAAAAATAGAAGAAGAAAAAATGAAAACCCTGTTGAGATTCCAGGGCTGGTAATTGTCAGAGGTTTATTTAGTAGTGTGGTAACTCCTTTGTCACAACCATCGTATACTTTTGAAATGTCTCTCTCATCAAAATCACAAGTAATTACATGTTGTCACATGTTCGGTCCCTGTAATATAATTCAACATTGAATATTCAATTTGCACATTGTAAATTGTTATGTAAAAATAATTTTACATATAGTCCTGTCTGTCTGTGTGTGTGTGTGTGTGTGTGTGTGTATATATATATGTTTGTATGTAAACACATTTAAAAGCATATACAATCAGCATATACAATATGTATAATCATCAAAGCACTTTTGAGCATTTTAGATGCTAAGTTTATAATGTTTTAACGTTACATTTATTCCTTTGTTTTATATGCTGTAGTATGCTGTAGTGCAATGGTCCCCAAACTTGTGGCACTGGGGACCAGTTTCATGAAAGAAAATTTTTCTACAGATTTGGAGGTGGTGGGTTGGAGTGTGTGGGTGATTTCAAGATGAAACTGTTCTAAGATCATCAGGCATTCGATTTCTCAAAAGGAGCACACAACCTAGATCCCTTGCGTGTGCAGTTCACAACAGGGTTTGTGCTCCTATGAAAATCTAATGCAGTGGCTGATCTGCTGGAGACTGAGCCCAGATGATAATGCTTGCTCACAGGCAGCTCACCTCCTGCTGTGTGGCTGGGTTCCTGTAACAGGCCAGGACCAGTACTGATCCTCAGCCCCAGGGACCTCTGCTGTAGTGTGATAAAATGAGTGGGTATGATACTTGTATGTTCCAGAAAACTAGGTAAACAGTATTTCAGATTTTTAAAAAATCATGACTTTCAACTGTCAGAATACAAATAAATCAGACCATCAATTAAAAAACAATAAAGTCTTAATTAAGCTAATGTTTAAAATATTCATAGCCAGTTACATTTTTTCTTTTAAGAATCTCTGCCAGGCACTGTGGCTCATGCCTATAATCCCAGCACTTTGAGAGGCTAAGGTGGGCGGATCACTTGAGGTCACGAGTTCAAGAACAGCCTGGCCAATATGGTGAAACCCTGTCTTCACTATAAATACAAAAATTAGCCAGGTGTGGTGGCCCACACCTGTAATCCCAGCTACTGAGGAGGCTGAAGCAGGAGAATCACTTAAAGACAGGAGGTGGAGGTTGCAGTGAGCCAAGATCATGCCACTGCACTCCAGCCTGGCTCAAAAAGCAAACAAACAAACAAAAGAAGTCCTTAGCATGCTAAGTTTATGAGTAAGTCAAACTGTGGGGCAGTCCAACATTTTAAATGAGTAATTCAAGTTGCTTAGCATAAAAAGTACTTAAATGCTGTATTTACTATGGTTATTATTGCTTGAATTCTCAGGTTTACAAATAGTTTCTGAAATAATATTAATGAAATAATTTTCCATTTTATTTTCGTATAAAACTACAGTGTGTTATAAATAAGAAAAGAGAAATGCAATCCAAAATTCCTAGTAAAGTCACAGTGTATGAGGTTTACCAGGGACATTTACAAGTCATCTAGAATGACTCAGCTGTGGAACTGCCTGGGAACAATTAATGTTGAAAAACTTACCATGAATCATATATCCAAACTGTTGTTTAAATGATGTGGAAATGTTAATCATTTGATCTAGAAAATATTTTTATAATTTGGTTATGTGTCAGTTACAGTTCAACTTTTGGATGATTATGTCTTAAAAAGATATAGATACATTAAGCTAGCCCCAGTGATGACTGATATAAATTATATAAAGATGTAAAAAGAATATGATTCTAAAATAATTAATTTTAAGAAGAAGCTTAATTTATTTTAGTGGAAAACTTAAGTAGATACTTAGAAAGTGTCTGAGTCATTCAAACTGTGAATTCATTCAAATATCTAATCATATTTTACTGTATTATATATTTGGCTAAATTCAAAAAACTGTCCAGAAAGTTTCAAGTTGTGTTTGGTGTTAATATCAATTTACAAATATTGGAAGATATATTCAGAGAAGTAAATCTAGGCATATAGCCTATGTTTACACAGAGAACAGACTAGGTAAAAAATAATTTATCTTGGAGGCAGTTCTGATTAGCCATCAGGACATATTACAGTTCTCTTCTTTAATATCTGTCCCTAGGAATGTTTAAATATTTATATAAGTTTACTTAAAGTATTTAATTTGTTAATAAATGTAACACATTTGTATGTAATTCTAATTTTTTTTTATGTAAGATGCTAGTTACAAAAAGTTATGTTACTTTTATATTTTAAATACAATTAAGGGCAGATACCTTTATAAAATGTTTTACCTTCTTGAAGGCCCTTCATTTCTTGGACTCTTATTTAGTCTGTGTGAAAAAAATATATATAAATATACGTATATAAATATATGTATATAAATATACGTATATATACACGTATATAAATATACATATATATGTATATGTATATATATATATATAGACTAAAATATTTACATATAAATTTTATTTCTATAAATAATAGATTAGACAGTTATAACCAGCCCTCTCTCTCCTTTGCCCATTTCCCCACAAATAAAATTTTTAAAAGTGAATGTCTTAATAGTCTGTCTGATTCAGAATGTTGAGAAAAATGACTATTAACTAATGGTTTGGCATTAGGGATTTGTAAGCTTGTTTCCCATCTAAGATTTTGTAAATTTATATATTTAGGATTTCAGAAGAGCAGGGTTTACATACTTGTGCTGTTAGAAAGTAAATAAACAGATGTTATTTTGTTTGTTTTTTAACCTAAGATTCCTATGATAATATTTAAAGAGAAATAAGGGCGGTGCAGTGGGGTCAGGGGACAGTTGGGGTTGGCAGACAAAGAGAAGGAAAGAAAAAGAGAGAGAGAGAATATTACCAGATTAAAAGTGCCTATTAACATATATTATATACATTATTTTGAGCATCCAATATATTAA